TTTTTTAGAAAAAAAAGAAATTTTGCGAATTGCGATGAATTCTTGATTTTTCTCTAGTTTGCCAACAAAAAAAAAAAAAGTCTTGATTTTTCTCTAATTTCCAGTTTCTTCTGAATTTGAAAGCAGCGATTTTTAAAATTTCAAGGTACGTTTTAAGTTCTATATATATATTTGATTTCTTTTTTTTTGTATTCTAGGAATTTCGCCAGTGTTATGGAGACTTGCTGATTCTAGGGTTTTAGTTTTAGTTTTGTAAGAAGAAGAGGAAATCAATGGAGGTAAATTCGATGGAAGATGAAACAACAATGGGGAAGAAGGAGGTGCAAAACTGTCGGTGTCTTGAATTAGAAGAAAGGGTTTCGAAAGCTGAAGATAGTTACATTGAGTTCTCTTTAATGTTAAAAATATAACATTTTTTCAATAGTTTACATGCATTAGTGAGTATTTAGGCTCACATATTAGAGTTTAGTACCCATTATTTTGTTACAAATTAAGATTATTAATCAAATTTGAGAATTTCAAAAAAGTCACTTTTCAAGTGCCACTTTACAAAAATGCCACACTTTTGAAATCTTTACAAAAATGCCACTTTTTCAAAATTATTTTTTCTTTATATTATTTATGTTTGGGTTAATTATGTTCTATTAGAATTTAGTTTTGAGTGTTTAGGGGGTTTTAGGTGTCAAAACATTTTTTAGGGTTTAGAATTTTAAGATATAAGTTTTATAAATCTATAATTAGTGGCATTTTTGTAAATAGACACTCCTAAGTGGCATTCTTGCAAATGTGCACACAAAAAGTGGCATTTTTGTAATTGCTCCATCAAATTTTTATTTCTAAATAATTAGCTATATCAATGTTTTAAAATTTAATGTAAATATGCGACCAGATAAATAATTCTTTATAACCAAGAACCGGTGACACGGCAATAACCGGAAAAAAACTTGCTAATCTTTTTTTCAATTATGTTTTCCACTTCTTTCAACAGAAAATAGTTAAAGATGATTTTTCAATTAGGTGTAATATTCTATAAAAATTACTAAAATATATTTTTTTTGTTTTTAACAAAAAATTTATAAAATATCTATAAACTTGAAAAAGGTTATAAAATCAAATAAACCTATGTTGATTTGAAAAATATTTTAAAATACATGGATCAATCAAATATATTTCAAATCTTTGTTAATGAGGGAATGGTTTACCATTACAAATTTACAACTCACAAATTGAAATTAGCGACTAGTATAGTAACAGTAATCCTCTGGAAAAGGGAAAATTGCATAACAAGGAAAGTAACACAGTATGGGAGAAAACAGGCTGGAGATACTCTTCTCTGTTTGATCATAATCCTTCTCAGACACAGCTTAGGAACAGATCATAATTTACTGTTTCTTTTCGTTAAACCGCTAATTAATTAAAAAAAAATTTAATTATTTATTATTCTCTCCGTCCCATTATATAAGATGTTTTGGTTGAATGGACGGAAATTAAGAATAAAATCTTTTTTAACAAAACAACATGTATTAATTAGTTAAAAATATAATTTAACTAGTCACATAAAAAAACTACATAGTTCAAAAGTCAAAATAATCAAATGACATTTAAATCTATATAGAAATTAATAAAATATTTTATACATATTGGAACAAATAAAAAAAATTAAAACATTTTATATTTTGTTGGGAGGGAGTAATTAGCAAAAAACAACCCACCAAATCAACGAGTGACTAGACATTAGAGTTTGAGACAGAGAGGATTTGTGTGTTAGGTGGGTCCCAAAGCCGTCTTGGCCCCACATTCCTTGAGGCATGTCTTTACTATTTAACCGAATCTCAGCTTCCTCTGTTTTTCCACCAATCGGCATATCTTTCTTTTAATTTCTGGTGAGACTCAATAACATAAAAAAAAGATTCCCTCGCCGGGATAATCACCGGAGATCGAAGAAAAAGAATGGCGTCCCTGAAATTTCCGTCGGAGATTCTCGCCGTCTTCGTCATAATCTCCGTGATTCTATTGCCGATTGCTCATTCGCAATCGACTTCGCCAGCTCCCGCACCCACCAGCGATGGTAATTAACATATAAAATTTTTGAAATCCGTTTCTTTTGTTGATTAATAAATTTAACGTTACAATAACAACATAAAAAAAAAACTATTTCGGATTAAGAATAAATTGAGATTGATTATTGTTTTTTTTTTTTCGATTTGGGTTTTGGCAGGAACATCGATAGATCAGGGGATAGCGTATGTTCTAATGATGGTGGCTTTGGCGTTGACTTATTTCATTCATTGACCTTCATGGATCATAAAATCTGTTCTTCATTCACAATGGTTTTGTTTTCCTAGTGTTTGTTGTCTTCTTATTTCTTTTGAACTTTCTTATTTTCTTTCTTTTTCACTTGTGACGTGAGATTTGTAGGAAAAAAAAAAAAATCAAAAGAGAGTTAGGTTTTGGACATCATGCTTTGTTCTGTCTTTGTTGGTTGGATTATTCGTGGAACTTCTTTCTCCTTGTTTAATGAAAAAGCGTAATTATAACTTTTTGATACTAGATGATGACATTGACAGTTTTTAACTACTAAGAGCAAAATGGATTCAGAAAAGTCGTCACATTTATCAAAAACTTTTAAAAATCTCTAACCTTTTTGTTAAGGATTTTAAAATTATCACAAAC